CATGAACAAAATACAAAAAAACTATGTACAAAGTTAAAAAAGGGACGCCTGGCAGATGTGAAACCTCGAAATTATATTTTGTTTAAGTTATATGCATAAAAGAACAGATTACGACAGGAATTAGATAGTTATAATGAGAAGATAAAGCTTTGCTAATTTTTTACCATAAAATAATGACTATTTATTATAATTATAATTATTCATTTTCAATTCATAATAAACCGTACAAAATGATATTTTTAAACTCATATATCACTATAAATTAGCTGATAGCGTATTTGTGTAACTAGCGTAATCTTTAGGCACCATCGTGAGAATCAACCAATTTTCGTTCGATAAAATGACTTTACGTATAGAATTAAGTAGATGGCGCCATTAAAATTTTATATACTGAAAAGTAGACAGAGAACCCTAAATGGAAATAACTAAAGGGAGTACTATTCTTTAAAAACCTCAATAAATTCTTCTGTATTCTTTTGATTTATTTAATTAAAATTTGGGCTTCACGTTAAAAAAAGATTGTAACACTTATTCCCTCTAAAATTAAAACTAGGTCTTATACTTTATGCTGCTGTTCAAATTGATGTTTTTAATTCGTATGGTAATATTAATATTGAGTTATTAAACCTTTAAATACGCCTAACTTAATTAAACTTTAATACTAAAGAGTCCTGTACCTATATTTAAAGTATGAAGAAATGTTTATTGAATATTAAATTTCATTTTTAAAGATTTTTACCTTTTCTTCGCCGATTAGCACTTCAACACACTTATATACATCACAATGAACACTATTATCCTCCCATTTTCACTGAAAATCTTCGAAGAAGCATAAATTTTTAACAAACACAACAAAAACAAACATAAACATTGAAATGTGAAGTGAACTTGCATACGAGGGGCCCGCAACCACTTCGCTAGTCGCTAACGCACTCCTAAACAATTTCATGGCAAAGCCAGGCTTGTTGGCTCAATAGTAATTGCTATATAAACATTTCGTAGTTTTATTTCATTATAGAATATTTTGCCATAGATTAGAAAGAGAGTGATCGTCTTCTCGAAAGCCCCGTAAAAAGCCCACGCGAGTGAGGGAGACAACTAATCGCTCTATCAAAACTCACTTTATGACAGCAGCAGTATCGCCACAGAGTACCTTTGTATAAACATATCGCTAAGGCAATACGAGGTCATCGGTCGACTTGTGTCGAACAGTGGAGTGCGCGGGAAAATTGAAATAATTTGAAACAGTTTAGGAGTTATTTTATTAGTTGATATTATTGATTTATATTATTGATTAATTCAGTTTTAATAAGGCAAGCCCGACTTTTCGGCCTTAATGGAAGCTTCGCCACTGATAAGAACGGTGATTCCTTAATTAAATCGAGAGCAAGCTCAGACCGCCCTGGGCCTTAATCGTATACAAACTAGCCCTCGCCTTCTTGTCTAGATAAATATCAAGGGGCGTTAGGCATAGAAGTGCATTAAGAGCCGCTCCAGACGATGATCGCATAGCTCCAGTTGCCATTAAGCAGGCAGTCCTTTGTAGACTATTTAGTCTGTTCGCAGTCGTCTTTTGGTTGGCCTTGTTACACCAGACAATAGAGGTGTAGGTGAGAATCGGTATGCTGCTGTACAGCCATAGGACCATACTGGGACGCAAGCCCCAGTTGTTCCCGACCAAACGACTACAAGAACTAAAGCAATTTTTGCCTTATGGCATACGTTGCTAAGGTGAGAGTTCCACGTTAGTTTTTGGTCGATTGTATCGAATTTGTCGATTTGGGCGTAACAATCGACCAAAAACTAACGTGGAACTCTTTTCTTAACTTCCGTGGAAAATAGTACTTCTTTACCATTAAGTTTTAGTTGGAATAATTTGTCCAACCGTATCTTTTTGGTAAAGGGTATTATAACAGTTTTATCGGCATTAACTGATAAACTGTTATCCCTACACCGGTTATTTATGGTGTTTAGAGCTCTTTGTATTATTGACGATAAAGTACTTTGGCAAAAGCCCCTCGCAATGATCACAAGGTCATCAGCATAACCCAGTGTGTCAATGCGTAGGTCTGCCATTTTGTACAATAGTTGGTCTACCGCAAGAGTCCAAAGAAGGGGTTACAAAACTCCTCCTTATGGGCAGCCTCCTGTAGTTGCAACCTCAACCGAAGTTTGAAACAACGCTATTTTTGCCTTTCTGTTTGAGAGCATCGATTTCACCCATCTGATGGTTTTGGGTTCAAAATTTTTAGAAGTCAGGCCCCCAATCAGCAGTGATGTGGGGCAACTGTAGAAGGCGCCCTCAATATCTAGAAAGGAACAAAGAGCTATTTCTTTATCCTGCAGTGCTTATTCGACCCTGTCAATGACACTGATCAGGGCTGTTTCCGTAGATTTGCATCTGCGGTAAGCATGCTAGTTGTAATGTATGGGCCTCGTAGCTATAGCTACATCCCTTATATATCTATCTATAACTTTTTCCTATGTCTTAAGGAGAAAGGAAGCTTATAGGTCTAAAGGACTTTGGTAAAGCGTAGTCCTTTCTACCAGCCTTAGGTATAAATAGAACCTTGACAACTATCCATCGTTCTGGAATATATCATGCAAAACTTGCTCTGAAGATTTTCACCAGATAAGGATGTCGATACCCCTCTGTAGTTGGATGGGAATTATTTCATCCTCCCCGCTTGATTTAAGGGCTTATCATTTTCAAATTCCACTCATTAACTTGTTACTGTCTACTCCTCTCCACCATTCTGGATTTATGTCAAATTCTTTCACATTAACTTCCATCTCCCTCTGGAAGAAATTGCCTGTTGACCTGCGAATAATACCTGCTTTCTTTTAAATAGCGTGCTATAACATAGCGTATTTAATAGTATAATAAATTTATAGTTTATAGTCTGTAGCGTGCTATTGATTTATAGTCGTTTTGAACAACTGTAGTTTATAGCAAGCTCCCTGAGCTACCGCGGCTTTTGTACGCCTGTACACTTATTATTGATTTTAAAGAAATAAAGCATTTATTATTATTATTAATTATTATTGATGTACTTAAAGTGAGCGTGTTATTTTTCATATAATTTAGTGTTTAAATGTTTAATAGGTGTATTGTAATTATGCTTATGAAATAAATAAATAATTTATGTGTATGATCTTGAATGAAAGTTGTCAAGTTTAGTCATCTTTCGTCTTTATACTATGCCAAATATAATACTCGTATCTTTTGATTTAGAAAAATGGCATTCCTAGTAGTATATTAGTATTAGTTAGTGTAACGTTATTTTAAAAGACGTAACGTCTCTAATTTAATTAGTGATTTAGTTTTAATGTTAGCAACAATAGATGTCGATATACCTACTTGTTTTTATTTATTTATTTATTTTTTCTATACACATAATAAATCTGTAGAAAGATCGTGTCTGTAATTCTAATATTTTCTAGAAAAAACAAGCCCAGGGAACTAAACGAAGGGTACTGAAGCCATATTAGTGGGTTTTAGGATCTTTGTCTATCTGTCTGTCTGTGTATTAAAAATTCACGCAAAAACTACTGAATCGATCCCCATGAAATTTTGTGTTAGATAGTTAGGGACCCGGGGATACTTATAGGCTACTTTTTATCCGATTACAGAACTTCAAAAAAGGAGGGTTAAGTATTTTCCTTCCTTAAGATGTTAATTTCTATTTTATACGATTGATGTGTTCTTAAATAATGTTGGGCTTTATTTATAAAAAAATTGTAAATAAACCCCTACATTAGTTTTAACCGTTGTGTATTAAATTGAACTACGCCGAGAAACTACAATATTATTGCTGCATTCACTTATTCAAAACATTGCCATCTAACGTAAAATACAAAAAGTAATGACATTTTTCCTCTACTAACAAATTAAATTCTCATGTCAGCTCAACGTTGAACTGGGCTTTTCAGAAATTAAACATAGATGTCATAGACCCCAAGCCCATGGTTCCAGGTCTTAACCAAGTGGCCAAGGATCATAGCATCACAGAAAAAAAGAAAGAAAAACGGATTTGCAGATTTATCACTAGCTTGATTTGATACAACTTATCAGATCGAGCAGTAAAAACATTGAAGTTGTTTGAATTCTAATTATTTGAGATTATGTCGACATTATAACGTGAGTGATCTTTACCTATTTTTATTTATATACTACATAGGTAAAGTTTAAATAATAATTTTATTTAAACTAAATAATTAAATTATTATTTAAACTTTACCTATGTAGTATATAAATAAAAATAGGTAAAGATCACTCACGTTATAATGTCAACATAATCTCAAATAATTAGAATTGGGAACTTTTTATAACATAAAGAAATTGCACCCTGCTTAAATATAACTGCACCATTGTTAAAAATGCATAAAATGCTAAACCGCTTCTCTGTTCCAACGCTGTCTCCGCTGATGCCTGATGTTGAGCTGAGCCAACAAATCGAAATCTAAATCACAAAATTTTTATTCCGCTATGTTATTTGGTTAGAAAGAGAGAAACTAAAAAAGCGGATTTCTACGCATAAGTTTGCGTTTGGATTTAGGTATTGTCGACTCGGATTCGTTTGATGGTACAGGTCTTAGAGTTTAGCTTACTTAGGCCAATTTTTAACATCGGATTTTAGTTTGAGAAATCAATACGGTGGACTGTGTGCTTATTTGAAAAAAAGCAAATGAATCCAGATACATATTTATTTATCTATGAAATGAATTGAAGAGAAGAATTTTATGAATAAAAATACATAAAAATAGGCTGTATGGTCAAAGATCTTTGTCTGCGTTTATTAGCGAGTCGTAAAAACAATCAAAAACAAATAAATATTTATGTGTCAATGTCAAAGTCAAAACTCAAAACAAGTGTTTGTGCACCGTGATCAGTGACTAAATAATTTTCTGTTTTGTGCACCGTGACTAAATATTTTCTGTTTTAATCATTTTATTGTCATTTTTAATTTATTGCCGACACGAAAAAATTATGTTAAATTATGGATGCCATGTTTGATATTTGTTATTTATCGTCTGACGGTACCACTATTGAATCCGATGATATTCCTCAGACAAAGGAGAATGTCTGGATTTTGGGGAAAAAATATAGCGCTATTCAGGGTAGGAAGTCGATATGCTCTACAAACAGTAATTTTTTTCCAAATAAATACCTATGGAATAAATTTGATTTTGTCTATATTTTAGATTTGGATCGTATAAGACGCGACATTAGTTCTATTATTTGGTGTACATATAGGAAGGGGTTTGTTCCCATCGGAGATGAAGGTCTAACTTCTGATAAAGGTTGGGGATGTATGTTGCGATGTGGCCAGATGGTACTTGGAGTAGCGCTTATAAGAATTCATTTATCAACGGATTGGGCTTGGAGTCCAGAAACAAGGTAATTTGAAAATTAAATATTGTACTTATAATATGTGTAAATTCTTAATAATATTTGCTGATTAAAAGGGCCTACTATACAATTGGAATCTTTTAAAACTGCTTATAATAATGTATTTGAGTCGGGTGGCATCATAGGCAGTAGCACTGGCCAAGTGGCGCAAATATCTCTGAGAGATGACTACGTATTTGTGCCATTTGTTGTAGAACCTATCGGTCGGTGGGGTCCATGTGTGGTGAAGTTCATAAAGGAAATGTATCAGTAACTAGTTGTGGCTGCTAATGATAAGAGAGCTGGTTCTTTTTTGCTCAAAGACTAATTATGGCCATTCAGCAAGGAAACGCAGCCAGCGTTCTTGGCACGATACTTAGTGGAATAGAAACTTTGTGATAATTTCAGTTTTTTTGTTTTTCTTTATTAGGGTTTTTTAATATTGCATATATTTCAATGTTATGTGAATAAATGTATTTTGTAATTTGTGTAAATAAAAGTGCACATATTATGGTCTCAATGCTTGGAATTGACTTCTTTCTATTACTGGGAGGGTTAAGTGATGTGCTGCCTAATTTTTTTACAAATTTTATATATATGAGTAATAATTAAGAAAAAGATTCTACATTCCAGCTAGTACATACATTACTTAAAATTGCCAATAACTGTTACATTTCTGGTGCAGAAAGGGTTTAAAACTAGGTTATTATCACATTGTGAAAATAAAGGAAATTAATTTATTAAAATAAGAGAAATAACTATTTTGTAAAATAAATAATCTTCAAATTAATTAAAAATTATACACAGAAATAATGTTGTTGTAGGGATCCAACATACCTAAAAATTATTCAAAGGTTTGAAGAGAGAAAACAAGCTCCATATTCCATTCATCAAGTTGCATTAATGGGAGCATGTGAAGGCAAGGCGGTAGGACAATGGTTTGGACCAAATACAATTGCACAAGTTTTGAAGTAAGAATATTTTATTACTTGTTTGATATTGTATAGGGTGATTGGAATATGGGTGCAAAGCTGTAAGGAGAAAGAAGTCTCGATCATTTAGAACCATTTACGCCTTAGTTATGTTAGATGAAGTCTGACTAGTTTTAGTTCAGCCAGTTTTATTGATAAATGTTTTTTTTAAATTTCTTAAATTAATGTAATGTGTATGTGTAAGCATCTGTGTCATCATCAGCCATTTTTTATACAGATTCTAAGTTTGTTTTTATTTACTCCATCTTTCGTAGGGTTGACTGGTAGAGAATGCCATAGTACTTTAAATCCGTCTTTTATAACCCCTAGTTGAAGGTGTGTTGCAGTAAAGGATAAATAAAATGAATTCATAAAAATTTTCAAAGATTTAATGAAACAGGTTTTTGCCACTAAGTTAAAAAAAATGGATTATGCTTTTTGTTCATACCTTTTTGGAAAAACAAAAACAAACACAGTGGTTATTACTATTTTTTTTCTTTCAAAAAGAATATTAACAGTGCTATAAACATTACTAATATTCCCCTTAACCACTCGTGGTAAGCTTAAATTGCTTGTGTTGCGAGTGGTTCATGCCAGCAGTCGATAGGTGGATTCGACCCCACGACCTTCTTGAGTTCGCGGTCCGCGCCCTGCCATTAGGCTACTGTCGCTTTAATTTGAGATATCATTTACATGGATTTCATTTGAGATATCATTTGCACGGATATGTCACAAACTAGGACCTAGTTTCAATAGTGACACAACAGACAGGATTAGTGAGAATACAATATCGGCCCTCTATTGTCCACCTTAATTCACTAACACCAGATAAAAGAAAAATGACAGATTTACAAAACCAGAAGTTGCTCGAATTATTAGAAAATCAAACCCAAAATAGGCTCCAGCATACGACCTCATTACAAACTGTATATTACAAGAACTACCTGAATCTGGCATAACTTTCTTTACATCACTATTTAATGCCATGACCAGAGTACAGTTTTTTCCCCTGCAGTGGAAGGTCACACAAATTGTAATGCTGCTGAAGCCAGAGAAACAACCTGAAGAAACAAAATCATACAGGCCCATAAGTCTGCTACCCATCCCTTCCAAAATAAATCCCTACTGCTATAACGAATCTTGTCTATACTCAAGGAGAAGGAGCTAATCTCTGACCACCAGTTTGGATTCCGCAGTTAGCACGCCACTATAAAAGCAGGAGTCCTGCAGGGCAGCGTACTGGGTCCCATACTTTTCACTGCGGACCTGCCGACATCTGAATGCTTAATCACTGGAACCTTTGCTGACGATACTGGCTGTGACGATACTACTGGCTGCTCATAGTGACTCAAAAATAGCCTAACAAATACTTCAAAAAGGGCTATATGACATATCCCACTGGCTCAAAAAGTGACGGATAAAAGCAAATGAAACAAAATCGGTCAACATAACGTTCACCCTAAGAAGGGGCTCTTACTCTCCAGTCACACTTAACAACATTGCAGTTCCACAGCAGTGGCGAAGCCTCCATAGGAGCCCAGAAGGGCTTGCTCTATCAAACTGCTCAATCAATAATGTCAACTAATAAAATAAATCGTCAACTGTATCAAACTATTTCAAATTTCCTGCGCGCATATAATATGTAACGTCAAAACTTGGCAGTTTGCTTTCAATTCGAAAGACACTGGATTGTCAAAATTAATGAAAGCAAGGAGTTGATGTTGTCGTCTCTCTCGCACGCGTTGGCTTTTTACCGGGCTTTCGAGAAGACGATCGCTCTCTCTAACGTGTGGCAAAATATTCTATAATGAAATATAACCACGAAATGTTTATATAGCAATTATTATGAAACCAAAAGCTGGGCTTTGCCCTGAAGTTGTTTAGGAATACGTTAGCGAGTGGGGTTTGCGGGCGATATGTTGCAAGTTAACTTCACATTTCAATGTTTATGTTTGTTTTTGTTGTGTCTGTTAAAATATATACTTTTTTAAAGATTTTTACGTACCACCGTACGTAAAGATTTTTATGCTATTGGCACAAACACGCTATCGGCTAATGTAATAATTTAATATTTATATTACCATATGAGTTAAAAATATGATTTTCCACGGTTTATAAAAATTGAAAATGAATAATTATATAATAAATAGTCATTATTTTACGGTAAAAAAATTTGCAAAGCTTTCTTCTCATCATACCATATCTAATTCCTGTCGTAATCTGTTTTTCTGTGCATATAACTTAAACAAAATAATTGAAATAATACTAGTTTTTACGGAATTTATCGCGTATATTTAACTTTTTTTAACTTTTTAAATACCCGACGTTTCGAACGCTTTACAGCACTCATGGTCACGGGCAGGACAGTATAACTAGTATTATTTCAATGTGTAGTGTTCGCGTAAATATAAGAAATCATTAGTTCCAAGCCCTGCTCACATTAGATCGCGCAATACCAACCTTACGCCCGCCAAGTAGTGATCGAATTAGATCAGAATTATGTAAACATGTCTACCTATGAAAAAACTATTTTTTCGTTTTAAACAAAACCAAAGACACTATGCAATAGATATTAGTATCAAAGACAAAGATATGCTCTTTTATTTTAAACCATAACCTGGCAATGTTTCTTAGAAAAAAAAAAAAAGAAATCACTCTGAACTTTCGGCGTTCCACGTGCCGTTTTGATAAAGGTGTTCCGTCTTTTTTATAGAATTTTATATTTGTGTCTGGACTAAAAACGAAAGTATTATACTTTTTTATATTCCTTGTAATATAGTGAACACATATATATATAATTTGTGGTATAAAAAAGTGAAAAGTAAATTGCCAAAAGTGCTTCAAAATCTGGAAGGCCAATTATGGCGGCTGGGTCATAAATGTGGTATTTTTCACATTCTCATTTATTTTTAGTGTAAAATGTAAGTAAAAATAGTTTTCTTACATATTTCAAATAACTTGACGTTGTATTTATTTCAAATTCACACAAAACTATTTTAGAAATATTGTTCTAAATGTCACACAGATAAAATATTAATATTTAATTTTTTTTAATTTCTTTATATTTTATATTTTGGTACGAGTAACGAATGGAAACACATAAAACATGAAAATATACATATTTCCAAACAATTTGATATAAATTTCTCCAAAAACAAAAGTGTAGAATTCAAATTAGTAGTAATTTTGTCACTAAAATTGAAGTACATACTACTACTGTGCTATACAGGGTAATTTACGTATTTTATTACAATTTCTGGCAACCAAAAATAATTTTATTCGATAGTTTATACATTCAACAAGAATTCCTGTAAGTTTTATCCATAAATATTGTCTCAAAGTGAAAATATAGCAAAATTTGCAATATAGCAAAAAATTTGCTAATTTTCAAATTTTCCCGCCAAAAAGGTCCCGAGTGAACGGGAGTATAACATGTCGCGCGCTGTCAGAGCTTACAGGACAAAATAATTTCGATGTTTCACATCTGCCAGGTGTCCCTTCTTTTAATTTTGTACATAGTTTGTTTTTACTTTGTTCATGCTTTTCTTTTGTTCATGTATTGTATTGTATGTAAATATCTTTTTTTTTTCGCTCAAGCAAACCCAAAGGGCTCTTTTCAAAGCCACCGAAGGTATGAAATTGCATATGTCATACAATCTATCTAGCGGTAGTATGCCTTTTGTGTGCTTTGTTAAACACGTCCATGACAGCACTGAATATGAAACTAAAGAATGGAGACAGATCAAGATTGGTGTATTTTTATAAAACTGCTAAAACAAAAAAACCATATCTTGGGCTTGCCCTAGTTTGGAGCCCTAGCTTCGCCACTGTTCCACAGGCAGATCATGTGAGATACCTTGGATTGCACTTGGACAAAAGCCTTATCTGGCAAAAACATATTTTTACTAAGAGAAAGCAACTGGGTATTTGAACGCGATCCGGCTCCTGCCTTCCTGCCTTTGTCGGCCCATTGGCAGAGGTTGTAAAAATTTGTTATCCATTCTCTAGAAAATTTGCTGTCGTCCGTCCACAAAATTGATTTTAAAAACTATCCATCTTCAATGTCTGTTGGGAAGGAAACGGCATAATTGAATTCTCTTGTGGAGAGCTTGCTCTTTCAGATCTTGCACACCCGTGCCATGAAGGTAATACAACAATATTTATCATTATGTTATATTACCTTCCACTGAGAAATTTTAATATTTCGAGCTACTGTATGGTATGTGGTGTATGGTATGAGGATCCGCTTGGAATGCTGCCAAAATGATTTTCTCGACTAGGATTGTGTCTACCTGGGTTGACTCCAGGTTCTTTGCGTTGTAGCCCAACTTCCGCAAAGCCGATGAAATAAGTTGTAAAAGACTGACATTCTGTACCCACCGATTCGGATAACGCTTTTGATACATCCGTCGCGCCAAAGAACCATTGCCATCTGCTCTGCTATACATAAAGATGATATCCGCATATTCCTCGTTGGAAAAAGTAGCCCTAGTCACTTCACTATTCATAACTAAATGTCAACACAATCACAATAGTCTGGAATCAACACGTGCAGGAGCGCAAAGTTAGGACACGGTTAATTACGAATCAACGCGAATACGAAAGCAAAGTCACAAGGGCACTTGATTGTTACTTACTAAATCAAAATAAGATGTGACATTGACGATTCCCTTCATAGTTATAGACCTTGACTAAAGAAACACGTCCTCGATACTTTAGTAACTAAGTCGACTTTGCTGTTAAATGAACCAATGTATCCCTATTCTCTATTCATTGTTGGGCATGCTACCTGGAAAGATGCTTTATGGCCGTCACACCGCGGACTGCGGCCTTTGATTGGAAAGTACTGTCAATTTGGTTCTAGCACGTGCATTAATTCTTGGAATTGAGTAACTCAGATATCATTTCGAAAACAAAAAGTACGTTTTTGATATTATATTAGTCTGTCTAAAAATTTCAATTTTCTCCAATCCGGTTTTTAGGTCCCAATTTTAATATTTTGTAACATATCCGCGTAAATGATACCTCAAATAAAAGAGTAAGAAAGAAAGAGTTAAAAAGTTAAGAGTTACTTGCCAGTTCTGCTCTGAAAAGAATTTTTTGCGACCTGGTGGTGAACGTTCGTAAAAGCTTTAAACAAGCCTAAACTGAATAAAAAGTTTCGACTTCGCCTGACCATTATCACAGATTGTAATGTAGCTACAATACATTTCAATTTATTCATAAAACGAAAGCATCGACTGCATCAGAGACGGCTTTTGTTACATCTAACTATTAGTTCGCATTGGAGAGCATCATTAAATTAAAATATATGCCTTATGTTTGTGTTATGTTACGGGTAATGATCGAAGAAGTAGTAAATCTATGTTGACCCGGGTTTTTGGGTAAATTCTGAATTAACACAAATACAACTTTCGCTGATATTACTTGATATTTGCTTCCGTATTTTTGACTAATTTAATCATAAGTCATAGTTATTGTCATTATTTTTCGAACTTTACCCAACACACTTAAGCTTACTACTTTTTCGATTCTTTTCTTTTACTCGAATCGTATACTTCAAACATGAATTAGTAAAAATATGTTCTTTTTTAGGAAATTAGTTGTTTATGATAAATGGAGTTCTTTGGTGATACATGTAGCTTTAGACAATACTGTTGTAAAAGAGGACATACGTAAGTATGAAATATATGTGTCCGATATTGATAAAATTGTTAGTGTTCTAAATACAGGGTTATAATTTTCTGAATAATTTTCCAGTTGCACAATGCATTGTTAAAAATGATAGAGGTGATGCATCAGACATACCAGATAGTATAAATGTGTCAGATTGGATGCCACTATTATTAATAGTGCCTCTAAGATTAGGTCTCAGTGAAATAAATCCTGTTTATGTAGAGGGACTAAAGGTATGTATATATTGTAAGATAAGCCAATTAATAATTTAATTTATAATAAATCTGTATTAATTATAATAAATTATTTTTACTTTTTTACACCATAAAAGTTAGCAAGTATGCTTACGAGAGGAGCGTTCAAAAAAGTGGGAATGCGGTACAGACGTTTTGAAATTTAAAAAAGTAATAACTGGCTGATACAGTTGGAATATATTTAAAACACTTAAAAAAACAGATCTTCATTTTTTTAATAATCGTTGGCGAAAATGCCACACAGCGTAAGGACGCCTGCCAACATCAAGTTAATACGCGAACATCTTCGTCGCAAATCCTTGCCGCACTCAGAAGAAGCTGGCAATTCAGACGAACATATCAAGAATATCTATGATCTTAAAGTAAAGGCCTACAGTCGACGAAAATTTTATTATCTCAACAATCGCCTTCGCAAATTGCGGTACGATCGCTGTTGAATGTTGTTGAGGAGACACAATGCAAAAAAATTCTCTTCACCGATGAGAAAGTGTTTAGTGTGGAAAAAAAATTAACCGACATTACTATAAAATTTACGCGACAATCTCAAAAGATGCGGCAAGAAATGTTTTTCGGACGCATCACCCTGCAAGTGTTATGGTTTGGTGGGGTGTTTCCTGTGAAGGGGTCATTGCACTGCATTTTTGAACCGGAGGTCAAAATAAAGGCACAAAATTATCAAGAAGACATTTTGGAAGCGGTAGTAAAACCCGCTATTCACTACCCTTTTCGATAATAAACCTTGGATTTTTCAACAAGATTCGGCGCGGTCACTCAAAGCCAAATCAACACAAAATTGGCTTAGGGTGAATGTACCAGGCTTCGTCACAGCGGAGGAGTGGCCGTCATCAAGCCCGGAATTGAACTCACTGGATTACGATTTATGGACAGAATTGGAGTCACTGAAGCGCGCCTTGGTCAGAGAATCAAAGCGAATTCTTATTGAACAAGTCCGTGCCGCGATAGATGACTGGCCGCGCCGCCTTAGGGCCTGTATTCAGAAACAAGGAGGACATTCCGAATAATTATATTATCTTTAATATTGTGGACCCACATTATGCTTATTAATTAGCATTAAATTAAATCACTTTTATTAATACCTAATAATATTTGTTTTTATCGTCTCAAAACTTATGAACAGACGAGGTATATTGAAGTATTGCAGTTGTATACTTGGGTTGGAACTTAATTTTATTAGTTATAGGATCCCAAGCAAATGGTAGTATTGCCATCTTCTCTATTAAAATTAGGATGTTATGGATTTCAATAACCTCCTGAATTATCATTAATGGAAGGAATCTGTGTTCTTTAAATGACTATTGAAAGTCGCGTTTAAGTGTTACTTACAATTTGTGTTGAATAAAAAGTGTTCTGTACTGTTACGAGCAGTTTGTATGCAGAACATATAAAAATACGCAACGAAATTTAAAGAAGAAGAAAGAAACGAGAACCAGTAAAGCAAAATTGCAGAGATTATTTTATTTCAACAAAGTAAAAAAAAACCAGCTCACAAGTTCGTCTTTGCGATGGCTGTAGTTATAGATGATGTAATATTTGTCCATATTTGTACCGTCTATTCATCAGATCTTAAGATTTAAAGATTAAGCAGAAGTCGCTGCAGTACAGAAGTTTTAGCTGAGTGAGAACTTCTTTCGGTAGACAAAGATGTAAAAAAGAGAAAAACTATTTCGAGTAATAAGTTAACGACAAAGTATCCTGTAACACACTTACTCATTCTCACATTTTATTGAACGGCCCTAGCCAGTATGTTTTATTTTAATAAGAACATTATTTACTGGTGTACCTATATATTATAAGCATATAGTATGGGACTCGTTCCATAAATCTTACTGTGGGTTTGAGATGGTAAAAGGTGCACTTGAAACTTATGTATAATAAAAGAAATTTTTTTTCTGCGTTATAGAGCTCTTTTGAGTGGACTAAATATACGTGGGAAGGCCATGGTGCAGCTGTATTATAGTTTTAGCACGAATGGGTCGACCCGACCGGGAGAGGAACACGCTTTGACTGAATATCATTAAATTAGTAGCTTAACGCTGCTGTTTCGTATATTGCGTAGAAACAAGTTATTCCATCTTAGTCTTCAGGGGTGACAACACATAATTTGATTCTTAATCAAGAATAAATGTAGCAGATGTCTAGGTTCACAGCATCCACTTACCATCAGGTGGATTGTGTGCCCGTTTGTCATCCTTATTATATTTAAAAAAAAACTCAAAAATTGTATTTTCTTATTAAAATTTCTTTCTAATACTCCCGTTAATCACTCCAGGTTAGTATAAATAGCTTTTGTTAGTAGTCATCATTACACAAGTCCACTGCTGAAAATAGACCACCCCGAGGAACACCATAAGTCATAGTCCTGAGCCAACTGCACCCATCGCCTTACTGCATATCTTAACAGATCGTCAGTTGTATTAGGAGTGGTTTACGATAATAGTCAAATGATGGATTCGAACCTACGACATTTGAATGTCGTTCATATACTACTGGCTTTTTTCATGCTTGTTTTTATTTATATGAATTGTAATTATCTTGCACGATAAATAGTAATTGGAAGTCACATATAATTAGAGATTTTTTTTAGATTTGTTTTCAATCGCCACAATCTATTGGAGTAATTGGTGGAAAACCAAATCAAGCTTTATATCTTATTGGTTGTGTTGGGGATGAAGTTATATATTTAGATCCTCATACTACACAAAAATCTGGATTGGTTGAAGTAAGTTAATTTGCACTGCACAATTAAAACTATATTTAAATTCTTGTAAAATACTATTTTTTTAAATATCATTGTATATGAATAATTATTTCAAAAGTATTTAACAAGTTTGTATTTTAGCCATAGAAACTTACAAGGGGTGTTAAAGAGTTCGCGAAATGAAAGGGAAAGAAGGTGAAATGAAACATGAAATTAATTTTTCTTTTTGATATATTCTCTTTTAACCCTAATTTAATTCTGAAACTGTACAAATAACTTATTTTTACCTTAGAATTTTTTTTGTCAAGGCCCTCAAAATAGGCAAAAATTGCCGACTTCACTACTTTGTCATCTGTAAATTTCTTTTCCCGAAGCTCTTTTTTCATATATGCTAACAAATAATAATCTGAAGAGGTCTGATCTCAACTATAGGAAGAATGGTTCAAAATTTCGAAGCCGCACTTGTGGAAGCCATCATAACACGGCTCTTGTGAACGGGTGCTTTGTCGTGCAAAAGGAGCATATCTCGAAACCACTTTCCTCTTCTTTTTTCTTTAATATCATCTTTTTAATAGTAGCGTAATACTATTCCGTGATATTGACACCTTCGTTTTTATAATTGATCAATAAAATCTCCTCTGAATCCCAAAAAACTGAAGCTATAGTCTGTGTGAAAGAAGAAGAAGAAGAGTGTGGTTTGCAAGATGATGTTGTAACCAGGATAAGAAAGGAATCTTTGTTTGTCTGGAAAGAATGAAAAAAAAATTTAGAATGGCCAAATATATTCATTAAAAGAAAACAATGGAAGATCTCTGCCTACCCCTCTGGGTGACAGCATTATGTTATGTCTATAGTCTGTCTAGTCGATTGTGACACCTTGAAATTCTTAGGCGGAGCTGGGCCTGTTTATGTCACTGCATGGACTTCTTCTTTGACTCATAGTGATGAACCCAAGTTTTATCCTCAGTCAAAATTCGGTTTATAATTTCGTCTCTCTTCTCCACTACACAGATCCAAAAACTCGAACGAACACTAGGACGCAGCTGTTTTTGAAGAGGTGTGAGCATTCTTGGCACCCAACTTACACTGACCTTAGACATGCCAAGATGGTCATGGAGAATATTTAAAACGATCTTAGATGTTACTCCAGTCATTTCTGCGATCTGTTTTTTCTTCAGACGAACACCTTCAAGAAAAAGTTTTTTCTCACTTTTTCGACTATGTCTGAGGAAGTTGCCTTAATCGGTCGGCCTGAGGCTTAATCGTCTTAATTGAGTCTCTGCTATGCTTGACAAAGTAATGTCACTTATAAATCATCGTTTTTCTAGGGCAAGACTCCCTGTAAACAGATGTCATCTTTTCCATAATGATATGTTTCGTTTTTCCTTGTTAAGTGAGGAACTTAATCACGGCAAATTTTCTCCATAGTTAGTGTTCACTTCCCGATTGATTAGTTTATCCTGTAATATTTCAAAGGTTAATCAACTGATCTAGCTGAAACTTGGTATAGTATATAATTGTACTAAGTCACTAAGTAGTAACCGTTAAAAAAATCCCCTCTCTTCTCCAACCCCACCATTCCGCGAACTTATTGACCCGCCTTCGTATACCCGCTTTCGTTTGTGTTTTTCAATTTATGTTTCCAAACTGCGAAACTGAGAAAATAGTGTGAAGGGAGCGTTAAAAAACAAATCTAATAGCTAGACAGCCCTCCCCCCTCCCCCAACATCGCGATTGATTTATAGTGGTTATATATAGTATTATAGTGCGTGTACGCCTTCGAAATTGTTATCCTTCCGACATGCGGGTTTGCTCGATGTTTTCTTTCACCGCCGAGCGGTAAATCAGAACTTTAATTTTCGCGTAACATCTCATATGCATATATCAAACAACAGTTCCTAATAATGTCCTCCACACCATACTTCATTCACGTCGGCCAGTCTCAACGGTTAACATCTAACAATAAACATCCTGCATATCAGTTGTTACTTCATTTATTATTTTGAGCTCTGAAATACAGCACACATGTACTTGTTTACTTGCTGTAGGAAAAAGGAAATTTTTTTTTATTTATATATTAGTTTTTTACAGAGCAAGTCAACAGATGAGCAAAAGGAAATGGATTGTTCCTATCATTGTAAATATGCATCTCGAATACCAATTCTTGCCATGGATCCATCGGTTGCTGTAGTAAGTAAAAATTATATTTATTATCAAATAAATATCTATAATTTTTGTTGTTGGGTGTTTGCAGCATAAGGAAATACTTCTCCTTATGTCATCTTATTAACTCTGTATAAGTTGTATTAGTAAATTTGAAAACTACTCACACATAGTGTTTTCCTTTTTTTCTTCTCCTGTCGTCGCGTCGCCGAATCATTACTTAAACAAAATGTAATGCGTACTTACAAAGAATTTTACATTTCATAAAGTATCATCAAAATATATTGTAAAATATTTTAAAACTATTGATATTAAGAAAACCGCAAATTCTGGGGGGGGGGGGGTTCCGTTAAAGTTATTGCGTCTATAATAGATAAAATCGCACCTCAACTATCTGGTGTGTTTCCTGATTTAATGAAGCATAGTAAAGTAATACCTTTATTAAAATATGATAATACATTGGACACCGCTAATTTTAGATCTATTTGCGTACTGCCAACACTTGGTAAAATTTTTGAAAAAAAAAAATTCTTGATTATATGTTACATTTTTTTAATGTAAATAATTTACTACATAAAATCAATTTGGTTTCACAAGGGGTCGCCTTTTCAAGGGGACAACTGATGCTGGTGTTGAGCTGATTAAATATATTTTCAATGCATGGGAGAACTCAAAGGATGGTTTGGGTATATACTGCGACCTATCCACAATCTTCGATTGTGTTCACCATGAAACATTAATCAGGAAACTTCAACACTACGGTGTAAGAAGTAATGTTCTTAAATTAATTATTTCATATTTAAGTAACAGAACGCAAAAAGTATAAGTTCTTCCGGGTCGATAGTGCAAACGGGTGTACCTCAGGGCTCAATTCTCGGCCTCTTTCTGTTTATTGTATATATTAATAACTTACCTTACATAGTAGGGGATGATATAGTATTATTTGCTGATGACACTTCATTAAATTTCAAATTTAAATGACAGCTACTAAATTATGACGAAGTAAATAATGCTTTATCTAAGTTATTAAATTGGTTTAATGTCGATAATTTGCATTTAAATGGCACTAAAACTAAATGTATGAAATTCGTAACTCCGAATGTCAAAGATGTTAATACTAATGTAAATAAATAAATAAATTAAAATAATTTATTATATATAAAATTTAGTATTTATGTATTCATAATATACATAAATACTAAAATTTAAATGGGGAGGAGCTGAGTCTTGTTGATACTACCATTTTTGTTGGAATCACACTAGATGCAAAGCTTTAATGAGGCCCATATATATCAAAACTAGCTAGCAAACTTAGTTCTATAATGTATATGCTGTTTAAAAGATTCTCTTATCAGTGTTGAAACAGCTAGACTAGTTTACATTAGGTATTTCCATAGCATGATGTCGTATGGTATTTCGCTATGGGGACATGCGATTGACACTGAAATTATATTTGTTTTACAGAAGAGGGCCATTAGAGCATCCTATGATTTAAAACCTAAAGAGTCACTCAGACAAAAAATTAAGGAAATTAATATAGGTAGTAACTTTGGCCTCTCAATACATTTGTGAAAATGTAATGTACGTACACAAAAATAAAAGTATTCCTACAAATATAAGTGATATTCATTCTGTAAATACTAGGAACAGACACAAGCTGGTAGTACCAGTTACTCGACTTCACCGAGTCAGTAATTCATTCTTAGGGCGATGTATACGTTTTTACAACAAAATCCCTGAAAATATACAAAATTTGACCTGCACAAAGTTAAAAAACTTTATTAAAGGACGTTTGTATAAAAAGAGTTATGATAATATTAAGGAATTTATGGATGATTATAACCCCTGGGAAGGGTGATCACTATCAAGCTATTTGTAATTTGTTTTATGTTGTTAATTGTAACATACATGATTGTAAGCTAATTTTTTTTACATAGTCCCGCTGGGTTTATTTCTGGTTCTTCCCAGGACAGAGTTTTTTTCCGAACCAGTAGTAAATTAAAAAAAGTGACTTTCAATAAGTATTATTTATAATCTATATTGATTAAAAAAAAGTTTCTATTTAATTAACTATCTGGAGTGACCACGGATGGTGGCCGAACGAATTTATATTGAAAATACGATTATTTAAAACGGAAAATATGCATGTTAAATTTTAAATTTCTTTCCACATTTTATTACGTCCTAAATGAAAATAAACAAAATGGCATTATTTTTACGATTTTAAATGTCTCTTAAAACTGTACGAATAGTTTAATAGGCATCAAAAAGCAAAGGTGTAAAAGCTTTTTTCAAATCCGTTTCCTGGCGATCTTCTGCATGCTTCTCATATTTTGACATAAAATAACTATTCGAGTTGGCACGTTAATATCACCTTTTAATTTTTTGAAATCTACGTTAGAGAATAAATTTTCCATTATGCACAACTGTCGAGATCGAAGTGAGAAATAGAAATGAAAAAAAAAAACGTACGGAGGTCCTCCATAGTTCATACTAAACATAAACAAGTAACGACAAATTGAATAAAGGTAGCTTTGTCCGCCACGACAAGGCGGACTCAGGTAGCGAGTGGAGCACAGCGGTGGCGCATTCCTATTGTTACTGATATTTATGGCCCGACGACTCGGTTGATAACGCGGGCGCAATAGCAGTGAAAGTATTTATTGACGAGAATCGGTGAAATATGTATGAAGAGATACCAGATTCAATCACTAAACGTTCACGAGTTTTTACACGTATTCGCATGAAGAAGAAAGTTTCCCTTTGGATGTAGCACAACCACACCTTCTCACCAGTGAATTAATATTCGTGATATTGTTTCACTGGCGTTGCGTGTAGGCTTTGCATTTTTATCGTAATTAAGGTAAAAGTAAAGTAAAGTAAGTATATACGTCCCACTGCTGGGCACAGGCCTCCCCTAATTTTTTGAGTGGGTTTTAGGGCAAGGAAGTGTCCGCCACGCTACCCCAATGCGTGTTGACGAACTTCACATGTCTTCGAAATATTTTTTTTATTATTCCTCTGACATGTAAGTTTCCTCACGATGTTTTCCTTCACCGCCAAGCACGTGGTAAATCAGCACTTAAAATTGCAATTAACAATTTCATTGGTGCCGGCGGGGATCGAACCCGGGTTACTCGCGTTCTGTTATATTTATAGCGAGCGTTAACCATCTGAGCTACCACGGCTCGTAATTAAGGTACTACGAGGAATTCCAGCCGCCATCTCAATACTCTCCACACCACCTGGATGCTTAGCGGTTCACTACTGTACAATTTTCCAGAAAATTTCTTCTTCGTACAGCTACTGACTGATACTACTTAGGGGCCTTAATGAAAAGAGCCTACTCCTTTTAAAAGGTCAGGAACACATCTGCAATTCCTCTGATTTTGTAGTTAATTATGTGCGGCGGTAGTCGATTGCCGTCGGGTGAGACGCAAGCTCGTTTGCCAACGTTTCTAAAAATAATACTATTAATATATTAACATTGTTACTTAGATTGATTTCTTAATAAAATACATTTTATGAAAATATTTAGTTAAGGGAAGTGTAAATAGTGTTACGAGCTTAGGGTTCGTGACAATAAAAACTGCCGATTGAATTACCAAAAGAGACTCTTTAATTACTGATCACCAATTAAAACTTAAATCACACTAATAATTATTCACACTTAACACTTTAGTTCACTTTATTTCACTCCGAAAGCTTCGCTCGTATCGCCGATTCAATACTGCCCCGATCGCGGCTTTCAACGGCTTTAAATAGGCCTTTTTTCACCGAAACATCCAGAATGTTCCAGAAAATACCGGTCCCGACCGACTAAGTGCAGAAAGTTCGAGTGTGGACTATTCTAGAAAGCTTAATTCTTCTATTCGATCCTAGATGGCGCTGTTGGGAGAGTTCTAGAAAGATCTTGACACTCCTATTTCTGATACTTGATACCAGATAGCGCTAGTGCCATCAACTGTGGCGCGCAACAATAGAACAGTGTGTGTAAAAAGACGAAAAAAAAATTACATGTGTAATTAATTTTGATTGATAATTGTATTGCTATTGTATATAATATTTTATTATTTCATCTGTTCCAGTGTTTTCTTTGTCGCACTAAAAGTGACTTTGAAGAATTGTGCATCAATATAAAAACAAATGTGATGAAAGAAAGTCAACCATTGTTTGAAATATGTGAGAAGAGACCGTCTCATTGGGGTCCCAGTAATGCTGATATTGATCTGCAAAATATTTCTATGTTTACGGGTAAAAAAAAAAAATTGTATACTCATTGTTTTTAATTTCATTATTATCATTTATCTATGTCTACCGCTCAACATTTGCTATAGTTGCCACGATTAGCAGACCACCGCAGCTTTTTGATTGATTTCTAATCAGAAATATGCTGCTGCCCATCTCCTGTTGTCAGTTTCCCTCGGTCGCCTCTTACGTCAGCCACGGGACGATCTCAGGTGGTGGATATATTTACACCGCCACTACACTGACTGTTCATATTAAAAAAAATACTAGCAATGCTATTAATTTGTACTATTATATTATTATTATTATGTGCTATTGTTTGTAAAATTACTATCATTCCCTTCAACCACTGCTGGTAAGCTTAAAATGCATGTGTTGGTTCATGACAGTAGTTGTACGGCGGATTCGAATCCAAGACGTATTTAACTATCTATAATTGTTATTATTATACATTTATAAAACAGTTTTGGAGAAAAATCTTGTGTATTGACAGATTATAATATTTCCATAATTTCACAAGATAGTAATTACGACACTGCAACTGTAATATAGCAGCTCACACTGTTCTTACCCCCACCGAAATTTTGATTGAGGCTACAAGCTATACAATTATTCTGTATCATGTAATAAAACAAAAATGTAGTAGAAACATTACTTTGTTTTATTATTTAACATTATTCACTTGTTATTATGTCCATATTTATTTAATTTATTTCATTGCCAGGTAACTCACTTAACCCTTCAGGCTTTCCCCCTCATACCCTAAAAATTAAAGTCGGTATTCCGATAATTTTATTACGAAACCTTAATCCGCCCAATCTGTGTAATGAAACTAGACTCCAAGTAAAATCGCTACGTAATAATGTGATTGAGAGCATTATTCTTACAGGACCAGCGGCAGCTGTAATAGTAGTAGTAGTGTATAGTAATAGCTCATATTCCCCGCATTCGCATGATCCCTACAGATTTACCTATCCAATTTAAGCGATTACAGTTTCCAACAAAGGTTTCTTTTGCCATCACCATCAACAAATCCCAAGACCAAACATATAAATATATTGGACTTGACTTAAGGGAAGATTGTTTTACTCACGGACTATTATATGTTGGTCTCTAGGTCAGGAAATACGGAGAATCACATTATTTATTAATTAGTCGCAGAAAAATGGAACAATAATATGGTATATAAAGAAATTTTAAAATAAATTATACCTACTAAGCTAAATCTGAAATATATTCTACCTATATAAATCATTGTTCAACCCGAGCAAGACCGGGGCGGGCGGCTCGTACTAAATAAAGCAGTAAACGCATTTATGTAACAATATTAAACTTTGGATAAATTGAATAATTTATTAGGATTCATGTTCATGATCACCTTCCATCCTAAACACACTGTTGGACATTCGCTCTACTAGCACCTGAGTCACCTACATGTTTTATTGACCTCTCCGTTTTCTTAGACGTCACTATATTATTTTCTACACTTGTTTATCGATACGCGGCGGCCACTCGAAATAATCCCATCGGTACTACAAGTTACCTACTTTATTACTGTAATACTCCCCCAGTCTCCCAGTCTCAAGGAAGACTGGCCAACTGCGCATTGCAGTATAAAAGTGCACGAGTGTGTGCGCAAGCGCAAAGGTCGAACCTTTTTCCTGAGGCAACTTCCTAACTCCTGGCTGGTATTGTGAATTTCTTGACAAAAAAACTCAAAACAGTGATTTTGACCGCCTTGGGATTCGAACCCTGCTATATTTTATGGTTTCTATTAGATTAACGATGGTAGAAAGTTAACTTGGCTTAGGAAAGACCTTCGGTAATAAATTCCATCCGCAATCCGGGGTAACGGACATATACCATACTGAACCGAGAGGGGATTGGCAATTACTGGCAACGAGGATACCTCTACACTCCATAGAACTCTACTTTACTCCTCAAGGCTGACCACATAAGTACTACATCTGATAAGGTGCAAGTAACAATTACGGTATTATATCATGATTCATGCGCTGTGTAGTAGTGTAATAATATAAGCTGTCCCATATCATCCCGTGGGTGTCGTAAGAGGCGACATAGGGAAACCACGTCGTCCCGATAACAACTTAAAAATAAAAATAAACTACTTATAACATAATATACATACATACGTTTAATATTAAATGAATATAATATGCTGTGCTCAAAGTGTTATAATTTACTTTTTTTTCAGATATTGAAGATGATAGACAATTCGATGATTCAGATGAAGAATTTGAGATTCTATGAAATTCAATGTTTGATATAATTATATATATGCCTATTAACTGTATAAAATGTAATAAAATGCGTCACATTAGAAACTTGTTAGGTATATAACAATAATAAAAAATTGTATCATAATAAATGTTCTGTTTATATACAAAATATAAATATTTGTTTAAGTGATTTCAATTTATTTACGCATTCACCTCTTTCAGTGCAACAACATTTTAAAAAACAACATGAATTATTATTTACTATTTTAAAACGAATATTATGATAGTGAGGTCTCCACGACTTTCTCTGCCTCCAGGACGGCACCGTATAGAATTGAAGTGAAATATTTAATAGGTTTCATAGTAGGGGAAGTAAATTTGTTAGAAAAGGGTAGAAATTAATTAATGTTTCTTTCTGAAATATATACCAAATTAGAAAGATAAAACTACGGATATTCTTAAAAGTAGAAAAAATAAAAAAAGGTTAATAAAGTTTTATACATTAAAGAATTCAGAACTGAGGGGCATTGTTTTTTGTATAAACGAGACCAATAATGTTTTATTTAAAACACAGCTTTTCAAGATTATGACACTATGTGATCGTCTGAGTAACACAACACACTCATCTGCGTTTCATCTGGTCAGCGTTAGACGTGTCCTCATAGATAAGAAATAGTAAATTAAATAATAATATTATTAAATCAGTTTATTTTGCACGTAATTATTTTTTTAAACTATATAATACTCCTTACTTCTACACTCCATAATTGAGAGGTTCACACGTGAAAAATGACTGTCACATATACAGGTTTTAATTTAGGAGGGCAAAATGACGGGACCTGGTAAATACTCTCATTAATAGTTTTCTTGCTTACCGGGTTCTCACTTACTATATACATACAAATTAAAAAAAAAAAAAAATATATATCGCCGCAACAAAGTATAAGCGACGTATCGGCGCATTACTTAAACAATTATTATTGAGTTAAAAATTAATAGACGTTATTTCAACTACTGAAATAACGTTATAACCTGATTTTCATAACATGTTTCTTTAGTTTTATAATTAGTTGATTATTGTTACTAAATAAATAATTTAAAATGCTTTAATTCAAAATATAATTAAATGCGGGTGGTCGCTATATCAATTTGAAGGTAATCATTCTCAAAGCGCAGGAAGTGGGGATGGCTTGCGCACACTTGTATTCGGTTTAAAAGGCGCACGACGGCGGCGCAGGGCAAAATGGGGCAGCAGTCATTCCGCCTGTGACATCGCTTCCGAGCGGTCGCATCCAGGTAGTCCGCCCTTTCGTCCTTGTACGGTAGTGCTCTCCCGCTCTCGCGCCTCCGCTGTCCTGCCGCGCTGTACAGCGCCGACGCATTGCTCACTCCGCCGGTGGCATCGTTCTCGGACGGTCGCCTCCAGGTGGGCCGCGCTCTCGTACAGTACGGTAGTGCTGTCTCGCTCTCGCGCCTCCGCTGCCCTGCTCACGCTGAACAGCGTCGAGGCTGGTGAGTCACTTTCACGCTAACAGTTCTTGCCCCCCTGTCTTCGGGCAGGGAGGTTTGACTGACCTCCGCTTTTCCATCTTTCATTTTTCATTCATTTCATTTTTTCTTTTTCATATTTTTTTTACGTGTTTTTATTTTTATACGTGTATTGACCTCGTAGTACTTCTCGCGTTCAAGTGCCTGTTCTACCAAGAACAGGGACCCGTCCCAACCGTTGCCGAGCTTAGCTCTTCTGCCCCAAAATGGCCACATATAGCTTAACTGAGTCCCTCGCTGCCCTCATAAACCAATATGGTTTAGATAACAATGAGACGGTCCTGGCATCGCCACCATCGCCGCCCAGGCTCCCCCCCCTGCCCCTCGGGCACACCATCCGCCGCCAGTAATCGCGACATACCTCGAAACGAGGAACTCTCTTTGCCCCCTTGAGGAAGTCTTTTGCCCCCATAGAGATGGAGTACGCATGCTCCGAGTCCTCGGCGCCGGCCTCCCGGAAGAGGCCCGCCACCACTTCAGGCACCGGTTCATCGGAGTCCTATGACTCCGACGGAACCGGGGAGTCTACATTGACCACAGTGAATTCCAAGCGCAACGCTAAGCGCGCCGCGTTAAAACGCACCCCCCTATCTCAGCGGCCCCTGCCGCTCCTACAACCTCCGCAGCCCCCGCCGCTGCCGCCGTCCCACTTATGTCACTAGACATCCCAACTCCGACAAAACCATCCTCTCGATGTGCTCCAGTCCTTGCTAAGAAGCAAGTCCCGCCCCCTGTCTTCCTAAGAGACAAGGCTAAATTCACCAAGTTATCTAAAACCTGTTACGACGCCGGCATCAAGTACGACCATGCCATCAACCTCGGGGAGGCTATTAAAATCATCCCCAACTCGATCGAGGATTTCCGCCAACTCACCAGGCTATTCACAGCCGAACGAGTCTCTTATCACACTTACGCTCTCCCGGAAGAGCGTAAAGTCAGGGCCGTCATCCGAGGCGTCCCTTTCGAATTTTCCAACGAGGAAATCCTTGAGGACCTTAAGTCCCAAGGTTTCCCCGTAGAAGCCGTTCATAAAATGCACAGTAGAACGGGCAAGAGGTTCAACCTCGCCCTTGTCATACTAACCAACGTGCCGGAGGCAAAAGCCATCTTCCGGCAGGTACGCACAATGTGTGGCCTGTCGAGAGTGAAGGTTGAGTCCCCACATAGACGCGGATTCCCGGCGCAGTGCCACCGCTGCCAACTATATGGTCATGCGGGGGGCCTACTGCTCCGCCCCTCCCAGGTGCGTTAAGTGCCTCGAACCCCACAACACTAAAGAGTGCCCTCGGCCCAAAGACGCCGAATCCCCGCCCGCATGTGTCCTGTGCAAACAGACAGGCCACCCGGCTAACTACAGGGGCTGCCCCTGCGCACCTCAACCTCGCCCCAGTAGGCAAGCACCACCGCCGGTCAATGACCGCTCATTCCCGGCCCTCTACCAACGGCCCCGTCAGGGCCTTTCTCAGCCCATCCAGGGCTTCTCTCGGCCCTCTCAGGGTCCCCCTAGGCCCCCTCAGGGCATAATTCGGCCCCCCACCGGTCTTCTCCAAGCCTATGCAGCCTCCAGTCTTTCCCTGGGGCCCCAAAAAGGCAGACCCACCGCGGACAACCTCCTACACCCATGAATCAGAGCCCACAGCTGATAACTATAATACACTGTATTCCGCTATTAGGAATATTGACATTAGGGAAATCACTGTAGTAGCACGTAAACTGCGCGCTGCGAAGTCCCCTCAAGAACGTCTCCTCGCTCTTTCAGAGCATCATAATCTTCTGTTAGCGTTGAAGTAAGTTAACTTAATTAACTTAACTTCAATGACAGAGCAGTTTGCTCTACCAAAATCTCACGGTCGTATCAAACCTAAGGGTTTATCGCTTGTATCTTTTAATATTCGCGGTTTGCGAAATAACCTCCCAGAGCTTAAGCTCTGTCTTCGGTATCGTGACGCTGATTTCCTCCTTCTACAGGAAACTAATCTCAAAACTAAGGACACTAAAGGCCTTTCTTTTAAAAACTTCTCTCTTCTTCGTAACGACAGACCCGACCGCCGAGGCGGCGGAACGGCCATCTATTACAAGAAGACACTTCACTGCTCCCCCATTTCTATTCCGCAGCTTACCAACATGGAAGCCACGGTATGCAGGCTAGCTATGACTAGACATCAGTCCATCCTCATAGCCTCCTGTTACATCCCTTCAGGAACCCATCCCCTCAAAAAAGATTTTGAGGCCATTTTATCTTTAGGCAATTCAGTCATTATGTTTGGAGATTTTAACTCCAAGCATACTGAATGGACATGCCGTACTACGTCCCCTAGTATATAGGCCCCCGAATATAGGCGCGCGGCCAATCGTCTTCAACGAGAACTCCGTTTCCGCCTCTGAATTTCGAGACCTCGAAAAGAGTAAACTCATGGAGAATATCTCTCCATCTCATACAGCGTACTATCAGATGGCCAGAGCCCTCCGCATAGACGCTATCACCCACACTCCCCCCTCTCCCGTCCCGACGGCACGGTTGCCTTCGAGGACGAGGAAAAGGCTGAGTGCTTTGCAGATAGCATTGCCGCACAATGCTCTCCTAGCTCTCAACCCGTCGACCCCTCACACGTCCAGGCAGTGGAGGATGAGGTCCGCCGCCGGAACTCACCCCCTACGGCCTCCGAACCTATCTCTGTGTCCAATGATGAGATTTCATCCCTCATCAAAGGACTTAAGCCTAAAAAGGCCCCGAGCGCGGATGGCATCTCCAACCAAGCCCTAAAACACTTTCCTGAGCAGGTGTTAACCTTTTTATCTATTATCTTCAACGCCTGCTTCAACCTTAGTTACTTTCCCACTACGTGGAAAGAGGCAACTGTGATTGGAATTCCCAAGCCAGGCAAGCCTCTCAACCTCCCCCTCCAATCATCGCCCCATTAGCCTCCTCAAGGCAATGGGCAAGCTCTTCGAAAGAGTCATCCAAACGCGTATGAGGCGCTATCTGTTTCCCACAGACGGTGACCCTCTCATCATTCCCCATCAATTCGGTTTCCGAGCGCAACACTCATGTCCCCAACAAGTCCACCGTATTGTGGAATATATCCTCAGCGGTTTTTATCCTCGTCGTCATAAGACCATCGTGGTCTTTTTCGACATAGCTAAAGCCTTCGATCGAGTCTGGCATACAGGCCTTATCTACAAACTCTACAAAATAGGTCTCCCCGATCGTCTAGTACGTCTCGTGGCCTCTTACTTAAAGTATCGTACCTTTCGTTTTAGACACGAAGGCACGCTATCCTCACAGCGAACTATCAAAGCTGGTGTCCCTCAGGGCTCAGTACTTGCTCCTCTGCTGTACATCCTGTTCACCAACGACATTCCCATCCCGTCGAAAGGTGTTCAGCTCTCCCTCTTCGCAGACGACACTGCTATTTACTGCAAAGATATCTCGCTACCCTTCATACGGAACAAGATCCAGAAGTCGGTTGATGCCTAGGAGCT